AGGAGGGAGGAAGGGAAGGAGGAAAGGAAGGAGAGAGGGAGAGGGAGAAAAGGAGGGAGGAAGGGAAGGAGGAAAGGAAGGAGAGAGGGAGAGAAGGTGGAAGGGAGAGACAGAGAAGGAGGGAGGCACGGGAGGGAAGGAGGGAATAAGGGAAGGAGGGAAGGAAGAAGGGAGGGAGAGAAGGAAGGAGGGAAGGGAGAGAAGGAGGGAGGAAGGGAGGGAAGGAAGGAAGAAGGGAGGGAGAAAGAAGGAGAGAGGAAGAAGGGAGGGAGAGGAGGAGTTATGTAACCTGATGATCGCTTGACCAGTGGGAAACCAATGAGCCAAAAATTAAAAGCTGGGAAATAATATTAAAGATCTAAGCCCTCTCCACTGTAGGAACCACCAAGGAAAATGGAGCCACCTCTTCTGCGTGCGTGTGTGTGTGTGTGTGTGTGTGTGTGTGTGTGTGTACATTAGTGTGCTTGTGTATCCCGAGGACAACCTTGACTTCCCTTCCTCCCAGGAACAGTCTCTCAGATGTCATTTCGCTTCCTATGCTATGTGTGTGTGTTGGGGGGGGGGGCACTTCGCTACTCTTCACGCATGCACGGGTTCTAGGCCCCCGCTCCGGCTTGCTTCCCTCTTTTGAAAGGATCAGTGCCAGTGCTGCTGGACGCCGGGAAGCTGAGCTTTTACAAGACCTTCAGCCTCCGCGCTTCTCAGACGGGCACGCGCGCGTCTTCAAGGGACCCAAAGCCAGGGCTGCAAGGCCAGGGAGACATGTGGCACCCTGCAGGAGCGGGCCTGGCAGCATCTCCCCGGGGAGGGGGGGGGCGTTTGTGTTCTTCTCAAGCTTCTGCCTGATAAACACCAGAGGCGACCACCGGCTGGGGTGACGGACTGCAGCAGAGTAGCTGTCCGCAGGCTGTTCCCTGGCAGAGCTGCCCACGAATTGCCCGGGGGGCTTCCCGGTGGTGTGGCTGTCTGCGGGTCACCCCAATAAGCTCACTGGCTCGCTAGGCCAGGCGCGGATGGAATGCCTCCACCGGAATCCGCTCCTCCTGGGTGAGTTGACACTGAGTTAGTCTCCCCAGGAAAAGCTCCGAGGCTCCCCATCACTGAGGCACACGCTGACCCACACTGTCGACCGACCAAGGTCCTGGGAGGCATGTGACCTCATTACACGCCCCAAGAGGAGACGAGGAAAGAGGAGCCACTGGGCTGCCTGCCCATCCAGGGCTAGAAGGCTTGGTCCCCACATCTTCTCTTTCTGTTTCCATGTATTTCAGGGCTTTGGTTTTTGTCACACAATGCTTGGCAGCCTGACTCCGTTTGCGTGTATCTGATGAGGTGGTGTGGGACTATTTAGGGTAAGAAGTTCAAGCCTTGACCTCAGCCTCCTGGCTTGCATGATAAATTCCTGATTGAGTTTCCAGCCTCAGCAGCCACTTGTGGAATTTGTACCACCTAGCTCCGTTCTGCCTGAGGCACTGCCCTGTCCTTCCCATCTTTCCTGCTCTTGTCTGCCCTCCGCTGCTGTGTGACCTTGGCAAGCCTGGCACCCCCAGGCAGCTCACATTTCCCCCCCTCTAAAGGGAGGTGTACTTTGCCATACTGGGATGGGTTCCTAAGGATGCCGTCGCCTCTTCAAACTGCTGAGCAAGATGCTCGGGCAGATGACTAGTGTCAGATGAGCAGTGCTCAGCTCAGTCAGGGGCCCCTGTCAGCTCCCATCTCTTCTAAGGGAAAGCCCGAAGAGACACATTTTCCCAGCCTCAGAAACAGCGTGTGGACAAGTGGACAGCTTGTGGCCAGAGGGTTGGCTTGCACGCAGGGAGGCCTGACTAGAGGGAGGACAAAGTCTCCAGTGAGGTCCCGCCAGAGAAGAGGAAAGAAAACAAGGCGCCCCTCCAGGCCCAGGGAAAAGGACTTGCTATCCTTCTCTCAAGAATCTCTTTTCCTCCTGCAGGAAGTGCTGCAGGCTGGGAAAGGACTCTGGTAGAACACTCACCTAACATGCACAAGGCCTGGGTTCCACCTGCAGTGCCAAAACAATGACAAAACAAGCCGTGTCACAATTCCCCAGGGCTGCCAAAGATGGCTCGCACAGTGACTGACGTTCTTGCCTGGATGCTAAGTGAAAAGCTAAGTGTGGAGATATAGACTTGTAATTACAGTGCTGGAGAGGGAGGGGGAGAGAGACAGTGTGTGTGTTCTTGAGGCTCACTAGACAGTCCGCCTAGCCTGGTCAGCAAATTCCAGAAAAACGAGGTGGCCAGCGCCTGAGGATGGACGCCTGGGGAAGTCCCCTGCCTCCACACGTTCACTCACTCGCTCGCTCGCTCACTCACGGCTTCTCTAACACTATAGGTTTTGTCTACATTTATTGGGGGCCCTTTCTCCAGCCCTTTACTGTGTCTTATGGTGAATCCATTTGTTTGTGTAAATTGAGGGTGCCCTGGGGAGATAGGAAGAACATGGCTTATTTATCTATCTATCTATCTATCTATTTATTTATTTATTTATTTATTTATTTATTTATTTATTCATTTATTTATTTTTGCTGTCTCCCAGGTCCTAGCCAGGAGCCCTGCCCAAGACACTGCGACTCACCTCACTTCAAAGCAAGGCCTGGCCTTCTGAACGGCAGCCACCATAGCCTGACAGCGTGGCCCTGCCATGCAGCCCGCACTGACGAAGGCGGAAATGGGCCCACGTACCCGCTTGTCATGGCCCAGTGTGTCCCAGGCCTTTGGAGACCTCAGGAAACCCCCGGCAGCTTCCTGAGGCTTTGATGTGCCTCATAACAAATGCCCGTGGGCCCCACATTCGGGTTCAAAGTTGAGCGGTCCTTTTTAATTGGAGCAAAAGCCTCTTTGCAGAGGAAGTCGGCAGGAACCACACCACAGGGTCTTTGAGCACAGCCAACAGCCGTGGAGCTGCAGACAGGCACACTGGCGATGCTGGCCCCACAGCGAGCGTGCAGATGTGTCTATAAAGCAGGAATTCCGCTTGTGAGATGCCTCAGGTCTGGACTTTTTCTTTGGCTCTTACTAAACAAGAGCTCAGAAACTGCAGAACAAAAGCATCGTGTCCCGCCTCCCAGCCGGGCCCCTCCCCCACAGGACAGATAGCTTCCAGGCTCCCCCTTGGCTTAGCAGAGTCCTGTCACAGGGGCCAGCCGTGTGTGCACTCGGTCCATTGCTGCTGGCTGGGGCTAACCTTCCCCATGTGGAGCCGTGTGTCGGAGCTTCCAGCCCTGGGTGTGTGTGTGTGTGTGTGTGGCCTTGGGGCAGTCACTCTTGGCCAGCATCACTGGGTGCTGCGTTTGTACATGGGGACATGGCTGAGTCAGCAAAGCGCTTGCTCGTACCTTGTGCCTGCCTTTGCCGGACACAGAAGACTTCGAGGTTTTCTGAGACGCTGAGATAAGCTGGGATTCAGAAATGCAGGAAATGTGCTCTAAGTCGTAACACATGGAAGCTCACCCACTCTTGCTCCTGTGTGTGAACGTTCCTTTCGGGCTGCCCCTGAGGAAAGAGCAGAATGCCAGCGTTCTAGAGTGCCGTGTGCTGTGGTGGCTGGTGTCTTGGCAGGATCTAAAATCCGATGGAAACACGCCATGTCTGAAGGGAGTTTCTAGAGGGGGTTAACTAACTTGGGGAGATCCTCTCTAAATGAAGCGTCACCTTCCCACCGGCTGGGGTCCTAGAGGCAGTGAAGAGGAGAAAGCCAGCTGAGCACCAGCACGCATCCCTGCTTCCTGACCGTGGCCGCCTGTCACCAGCGGCCTCATGCTCCTGCCGCTGTGGCTGTGCACTCTGAAGTGTGAGCCAACATACCCTTTCCTCCTGGAGTCACTTTTGTCCCAGTGGCAAGAACTGTAGCTAACACAGCTGTCACTGCTGCTGAGAGAAAGGGTCATTACACAGCAGGCTGCAGATCCTCCTGCCTCTGCCCCCAGAGCACTAAGATCACAGGCGTGTGCCGGCATCCGCTGCACATGGAATGCTTTGAGTGTGGCAGCCGGGAAAAGGGGGTGAGAACTGTGAGGCTGCACCAGTTTCTACTGCTGTGGTGGCCAAAGAGCAAGCTGGGGAGGAAACAGTTTATTCGGCTCACACTTCCACAGCACTGTCGGTCGCTGAAGGAAGCCAGGGCAGGGGCTCCCGCAGGGCAGGAACCTGGAGCAGGAGCTGATGTACAGGCCGGGGAGGGTGCTGCTCACTGGCTGGCTCTCCTGGCTTGCTCAGCTGCTTTCTCAAAGAACCCAGGACCACCAGCCCAGGGGTGGCCCCACCCATCATGGGCTGGGCCCTCCCCATCCGGCAGTTACAGAGAAAAAGCCTTACAGCGGGATCTCATGGAGGCGTTTCCTCAACTGAGGCTCCTTCCTCTGATGACTCTAGCTTGTGTCAGGTTGACACACAAAACCAGCCAGTGCAGTGGCACTCCAGGAGCTGTGGCATCCAAAAGTGCCCACAAGGCTGGCCTTAGGAGCAGCTGTTCGCATGAAACACCAGACAACGTGGAGAAAGCCTGTGAGCCAAGCATCGCTTGTTGGCAACTAAGGCAGAGATTCACAGTCTTCCTCAAACTGCAGCGGTGGACCTCAGAGTCCAAAGCAGGACGTCCACTTCTGAGACAGATGAGAAAACAGAATGGACATATGTCCCGTGGGTGGATGTCTGTCTGTCAGCCCATATAGCAGCTCCACATGCTGGAATCTTCCTGCGGTTTAAAGGCACCGCAGATGGCCGGGGCATCAGATGTCTCTTGACTACCCTGAAAGCAGAGGAGAAAGTGACCAAGCCTGGACAGCAGACAGCTTGACCACAGCAGTGGCCCGTGAGCCCGGTGGTGGACAAGGACCTTTCCGAGCTGCCAGAATCTCTGCTGTTGGTGCTTCAGGTATAAAGTCACTTGGGGGCTGGAGAGATGACTCAGTTTGTAGATGTTTGTGCTCTGAGTGAAAGTGGCCCTTAGAGGCGCATCTGTTTGAATGCCTGGTCTGTAGCTGCTGGAACTCTTTAGGAAGGATTAGGAGGTGTGGCCTTGCTGGGAGTGGGGATGGACTTCGCGGTTTCAGAAGCCCACACTGCTCCCAGTTTGTTTTTGCTTCTTCTGACCCACGGTTGCTGTCTCAACGTGAACACAGCCACTTCTCCCGCACCATGCCTCCCGCCTGCCACCTCTGTCCCCACAGCGTCTGCTCATGGCAACAGAACCGTAACTAAGAGAGTAAAACTCCGGTGCAGCAACACATACTTTTAACCCAGCCCTACAGAAGCAGGGAGGAGGGTGTCTGGAACTCACTGGCTTGGCAGCCTCCCCCGCACGGTGAGTTCCGGGCCAGCAAAAGACCCTGGCTCAAAAAACAAGGTAGACAGCCATAGTTGAGAATTCTGGAATTTGGGTTTCTTAAACACACACAGACACATGCACACAGGGAGAGAAAGAGAGAGAGAGAGAGAGAGAGAGAGAGAGAGAGAGAGAGAGAGAGAAAACAATGTGCTTTTGTTTTAATCCCAGGTGTGGGATCTGTGGCCCCTTCGTCCTGCTGCAGCAGCTGACGATGATTTGCCTCGTGCTCGAGCAGAAGCGTTGTTTGCCTGCTGCAGGTAATTTCTGTGGTCGTGTGACTTTGGAATACTGGAACTTAGGAGAGGACATGTAAGTGCAAGGTCCCTGAGAGTCGTGGTGGGTGTTGGTTGTTTGGGGAGGTTGGTTGCAGCTTGTGAGTAGCTGTGGCCAAAGGAAAGAAATTAGATTCAGCCATCTCCCTCTCCTTCCCCTTATCCTTTCTCCTCTGTCTAGTTTCTCTCCTCTCTAGTGTTGGCAGGTGAGACTGGGGGAGTAAAGGGTGGGAGAAGAGGAACCCACAAAGTAGTAAAGACCAGCCACAGACAGCACCTGAAAAAGGACCCCTGTCCTTCACATACACAGTCACATTCACACCTGCCCTTATTACAAACAGGCACATGAGAGAGAGACAGGCAGGCAGACAGACAGGCAGACAGAGACAGAGACAGAGGGACAGACATAGAATTCGACAGAGAGACAGACAGACACAGACAGACAGAGACACAGACAGAGACAGACAGAGAGAGACAGACAGTGAGAGGGGATAACTGAATACTGGTAGACTCGCTGAAGCACCCAGGAATTCTGAAAGCCTTCTCGCCCAACCTGGAGACTTCCATCAGCAGTCTGCTCTCTGGCCTTCTCCCAGGGTGTTCGTAGACACCGCAGTATGTCCAGCGTCTATTTTGGAAGCCGGCCAATCACATTTGTTTTTGAAGCTTCCTTCTGGGTAGTGGGCTTCTAACTGTCCTCCCCAGGAAGAGCAGGGCAACCGCCTATGGACACATCTGTGTGGAAACACGGGTCTCTGAAGATGATCCTTCCGCTCAGAAGAGATCCTTCCGCTCATCATGTGCGGTTCTTCAGAACTATCAATGACCCGTCCACTGACTGTCCTCTGTGACTTGAGGTGTTCTGAGTCGCATGTGCCTTGGTGTGAAGGGTGCTCTGTGCCTCTGTCTGCAGCCTGCTGTGCCTTTCTTTCCAGCTCTCATCACGTCTGGACCCTCTTCTCTGGCAGTGTTTACTTTGTCACCGGCGATCCCGCAGGACACTGGCTGCTCTCTGTCTCCCTCGGTATTCCTCAACTCTTTCTAAGAAAAACTGATTTTGTTTTATGCATTTAAGTGTTCTGCCTACAGGTGTGTGTATGTACCAAGTCCATGATGTGCCCAAGGAGGCCAGAACAGGGTCGACACATTTCCTGAAGCTAAGTTAGGGACAGTTGTGAGCCACCACGTAGGAGCCGGGAACTGGGTCTTCTGCAAGAGCAGCAAGTGTCCTTCACGTGCTTTCGGAATGCTGGGAGAGACTGGGGAAACACCAGGTTTCTTGACTGGTTGACTGACAAGAGGCTGGTTGACTGACAAGAGCTCGGCTCTGGGCGCAAAAGAGCTGCAAAAGCCCCTCCCCCTCCCCCGCCGGGGAGACAGAGCCCTGCTGAGTGCCAAGGACGCAGGCTGCAGGTGCCGCTGGGTCCAGGTGCTGGGCAGCCTGCTGACCCTGCCCTCAGCAGCTGCAGCGTGCACACGGCAAGTACCGCCTTCCGAAGCGAGCCACAGAGGATTCCCGGCGCTATTGGCAAACATCCTCAAATCCTCCCCAGCAGAACAAAAGCAGAAAATTAGAAAATTACAAGCCTTTACGATTGTTCAGTAATTCCCATTGTAATTGGGGTACAATTGTTCAATTTTTTTTGTAGGAACCAAACAATCTATGTCTGTGCCCTGCTTTTGAGACTGAACTTGCGCATTCAGCCTGCTATGATTAATTCTATAGTCGTTCTGCGCCTAACCACAGCCGCTTACACATGGAGGAGGCTTTCATAGCTGCACTCACGGGCCTCTGTTGTCTCATATCATTCTTTGATAATGTGGTAGCAGCTCTTGTGTGTGCATGCCTGTGTGTGTGTGATATTTTTAAATATTTCCCTTCAAATGGCTTGAAAGAAGATTTCTAGGTGGGACCAGTTCTGTGATTTGAGATTTTTCTTCTTCCCCCATGGCTGCCATTCCTCACCAAAGGCCCACTCACCCTTCCTTCTTTGAGGCCATGATTGGTGAGCTCTGGACTACCACAGGGGGCTGCCTTTTCCCACCAAATATTTCAGGGCTGTTTGCAAAAGGAAGAGAGGGAGGACCTGAGGGAGGGGAGGTTTACAAATGGAAAGAAAGATGGGTGGGAAAGGTCAGAGATGAGTTGTGCTCTACTTTGTTGGTTTTGTGAAGGGATCTCTCGCTGGCCAGGAACCGAGCCCGTGGGCCAGGCTGACTCCCAGGCATCTGCCCACCCCTGCCAACCTACCCTGCCGGATACAGACAAGCAGCCACACCCTTTCATCTCCTGCATGGTTCAATCGTGTCTGCAGCTGATGTGGCAAATCACACATTAACCGTGTGACCAGACCTTCCATATGGGCATCCTCACCAACGGTG